AGATATGTGATTTTACCTAAATGTGGGAATAGGCTTGGTTATCATCCTATTTCACCTATTTTTATGCCGTTAGAGGTAACGAAATGATACGTCCTGTGCAAATTTGGGTGTATCTTAATTTGCGGCTTAGTTAAGGCAATTTATAGGCTTCGTTTAATGGCGTTTTGTGGGCGTGGCAGTGGTCCGATTACACCCATCTACAAACTCGTCTTCACTTTTTTACGTGTACCAAGTTTCATTAAGATATCTAAATTTTTACTCAAGTCAAGTTGCATCCTGATTATTAATATATACATAATCCTATATCTAACTCAATTATTTTTAGGTGATACAAACAATCGTTAGGTGAACAAAACTATGGTATTATACTCTGTAGCAACATGTTGCACGATAATAAAAATATGTACATATATATCCGTATTTTTAACTATGTTAGTGACAGATAAGATGACTAACACGTAAACACATATTGTTTCGTCATATTCTTAAACCCACTTCTCGTCGCCAGAAATGATGCATTTGATGAATGTAGGGTCCTCTGCTTTGCGACCATACTCTTGGTTTTTGGAAAAGATTTAGGTTTTTTGATACGAGTCTAGTATTGACACGCTATTTACCCAAATCCTTAACCAAACTGTGTTGAGTCGATCCATAAGAGATATTGATACTCTCTACCGTTGCTCTGATGCCAACATGACAATTTTCAAATACTGTTTCTTTAACTTTTTCGATGTTATCGTCATTAACAGAGGTGGATGGACGACTCCCATGAGGCTTTGATGACTTAACTGAATGCTTTGTGCGACTCAAATACTAGTATTCGTGATAATATAGGCCGTGGTTCTATTGGAAACACCAAATTTCAAGTAAACTCGTTGTTAAATTTATTATATGTACATGATAAAAATCGCCAGACACACTTTTCGCGTCGTAAACAAGCAGATGCAAACACACACTAATTGACACATGAAGATAAAACTGCACACGAACATAAAAAAAATTTACCAATCTGGGATAAAAAATGTTCATCAATTCCGTTTACGCACACAGTTTGTATAGATTATCTTTTCAACATATGTTGGTTATATTTCTAATATCAATTGCGTACTTTTAATGAAAACCTCGTATAATACCTTTCATATGTGCATTTCTTATAGCAACTATATGTCTAACTGAATCTGAAAACTTAACCGGCCAACAGTTTGGAGCCAACGTTGTTTGAGAAAAATAACCATTTCTAAGAACTAGATTTTGATCTCTCAGTTTATATGGTAACTATGTGCTGTAGTAGTCCGATATTTGCGGTTTTGACAAATAAGTAGTTTCTCGGGAAAAAAGAACGTGTACAAAATTTCAGATCTATATCTCAATAACTGAGCGACTAGTTCGCGTATATATTGACATATGTATATATTGAGACAGACGGACCTGGCTACACGAACTCGCCATACTCATAATTTACTCGTAAATATATTCGTTATAGGGTCTCCGACATTTCCTTTTGGGTGTTACAAATTTCGTGGCAAGCTTAATACACCCAGTTCAGGGTATAAATATTGATGGTGCTAGTACTCTTATCTTTTGTCGCTTGTAAATATGAGGGATATAATCAACGTACCTACATATATATGTATATGAAAAAATAAAGATAATGAGCCTTCTATAATCCTGTTTAATGGGCATCGACGCATACATATCTACTTAAACACACGTGCTTATGAACTCTTTCACTATTAGCTACATTTGTATTTAATTGTGAGCGATTTAAGTGCGCACTACACAAATCTTGTCATACATATGTATATACTAACTTATGTACGCACAATAAGGGAAACTAAATCAAATGCTTGTTTTGCTGCGAATTCTGTTTAAATAAAGAATTAAAGGAGCTCATTAATTTGAACGACAAAAGACTTATTTATGGCAAAGAGAAAATATGTATGATTGTGAGAGGCGACGGTCTAGTGCAATAGGTCGAGGGTGCACAGCCAGTACGAGAAATATACCGTGTGGATCAAAGCACGATACATGTATAAATAATCATTTTCTTTCTTAAAGAAAGTTTAATTTCAATGTAAGTAGATGGTAAGGCTGAAATCCAGCACACATGCGTCTGTACGCGTATTACAACATAAATACACAAATCTGCAGAAATAAGTAATTGCGAGTCAGTCTTCTACATATACAAAAAACAAAAAACACAACAATCTAAATCAAAATCGCCAAATCTAGTACTCGAGTACTTACTGGGGCACCCTTAGTTCCATTCGTCTGCAATAGGCTAGCTAAGCGCAACGAATCATGGTTCCTGCAGGGTATTTATTAATAATTTTCCGGTTATTATTAATCGACTTAATCTTATATTTTTATATTTTTTATTGAATATTTATTGTAAGTATATGTACCATATATTTATGTATGTACGCAAGTATTGGTGATCGAAGTTGAATCGATGCCGCTTTGTCGCCAAACTACAAAAAAAATTACTCACGAATCATAGTTTTACTTCATGCATATTACCAGATATTTAAATATGTATGTACATACATTATTTATCAATCTATACAAAAATGCTTTATTTATTGTTTCATTCCCTAACATCAAATAGATACATTTATGGTACGTGTACATATGTGCGCTGTACTGATGTTAATATATTTGTATAACTCTGAAATAAAATAAAACTTTTGTACTTTTGTTTAGATTGTATTTGAATGCATGCGATTACACTTCCTCCAAATGCATTTTCTTCACTTGCAAAACAATTACTTTTTAACCGCTTGAATAATCATTACAGCGTTAACAAGCTCTGCACTCTGTTTACTTTGTGTCATGAAGCACAAAACAACTTTAAGTTAACTTGGGCACTAATGGTACATATGCTTGTATATAATAAGTTCAATGCATTTGACTGAACCGAGTAAAACATCGCTGCAGTAATGCTTCAAATTATTACGGAAATATGCTGTTTGGACCAAGAACTTCTTATTTGAGTTACACTCATTTATGTATTTTCTTGAAATAAGAGACTATAATGGAAAATCCAAGGACGTAAAATAATATTTGAAATTAAATTTAAAAATATTTTTTTAAATTAATTATTGTAAATTGTTTAAGCCAAAGACAGTGATTTTCGTATAATAACATTTTTTTGTATTTTCTTAACTAGTATGTACCTGTATATCTGGTACCCAGATCTACGTAATCATTTCATAGGACAACAAGACGTGAAAAATGAGATTTGGAGACAGAGCCATTTGACTGAGTAGTCGGGGTCCACACCAGTTGGAAATTATAACTAGTTAACATGTAATGTATGTAATATGCCTTAGTTGCACATACAAATAATAAATCAATATATAAATACGAGTATTGACATGTAATTGGATGGCTTGTTAAACTCGAATCTGTCGCCACGAAAAGCTGATAATTTTTGTCGTCAGTAAAGGCTGGGACATTGTGGTTAGGACTCTTCTATAAGAGAAATACTTTTAATTTAGTTTATGTTGCCGTACTTTATGGCTCGAACTTGGATCAGCCGAATATGGGTCACACACCATATTGAGTTCGCTATATTTCGCACAAGCCTTTGCCTAAATATTTATTTACATATTTGCGCGTAAATAAAAGCTTTTTTCACAGACTGCAAATATCTTAACCAAAAATACATAAACTAAATAATTGTTGACTCAATTGTTTCTCTCTTGTCGCGCTCATAGCGTTTTAACGCTCAAAGACATTTGCTCTTTCTCGTTCAGTATTCCGTTTTTACTTCAATTATTGTTGGTTTTGTTTAGATTTTTGTATAATCATACAATATCAGCTGGGCTGACGTTTCACATCAGTGCGCAAAATCACGGTACCCCCTGCGAATGTCGGCGCAAAATGCGACAAACGATAAAAGTGGGTATAAAGCGTTGAGATGATTTGCATTAACAATTTAAGCGGACAAATGTATGTACTACGATATTTGTAAATATATAAAATATGGGTACATAGGTATCTAGGTAAACAGTTGTAGAAAAATGTTAAGCACAAATAAGTTATTTACTCATAATGCCGATGGTGAGCCGAAGAACTAAATGGGTATCATAAAGAACGTTAATATATATTGAAACATAACCTTATTCATCCTTTTCCTATTACTTGCTATGCTTCTAACCACGCGTCAACTTAGTGCCGTTTCAGACAGGGATTCAAAAGAGTCTGATGTTTTTCAAATTTTCTTTTGGTGTCGCTCTGGGCATTCACACGGTCAAAAAGAGTCCAGCAACTCGAGTCTAGTTTTTCTGCATTCCTTTTCACAAAATGTTCGTAAATATTTGTGCGGTTCGACTGCGCAACACCGCGCAACACTGCGTGCTGCGTATTTCATTTGTATGTTGAGATGATGGTCACACATTTTGCTTGCAATGAATTACCATGAATATGGTAGAACAATATGCATAATACAAGTACCTACCCGCTAAATAGTTTCAAAAAAATACTAAAGACGGGAATTCCCTAATCCACAAGAATGTATTGAATATCCGCTACTAATATTTTCAAGGCCAAATTTATAATAGGAATTTCCTAATCTTTAAGTATTAAAAACTCATAATTTCTTTACTCCGTATTAAAAATTCATAATTTCTTTACTCCATAATCTATATCTTAATTTTCTCCTTATTTACAATTTGTCATAATATTTCTATTATTCTATTCATACGTATTTGCATATTACATACAAAAATAGATAACAGAACTCAAATTTGCGATCGAATTCATTTGAAACCGAGCGCTCTTGCAACCATTCAAAGGATTTGAAAGTGAAAAGGAATGCTGAAAAGGGTAGCAGCGAGCTGTTACGAACAAGAACACAAAGCGTGCCACCCGAACACGAGTGGCACGGTCCCTTCGTCTTTCCTCGTCGTCCCCTCGCCCACAATAAACTGGTATGAGACTCTTTTG